TTTCAAATTAGTTTTTCTATATAATGCAAAGTAGAGATTGAGGTTAATTTTTTCAAACATTTATCCAGTTGCTCCAGGGCTACTGGTTGAGAAGCTTTTCCTTTCCGCATGGGATTGGGGCATTTGCTGAAAATTTTATCTGTGTGAATCCATTCTGGGGTTCTGTATTCTGTTCCACTGATCTAGTTGTCTGTCCTTCAGATCACATACTTGTTCAGTGTTTTTCCTTGTCCTACCATGTTCCCAGCCCCATCATCTCCTGAGAGAACTAACTTAATAAATTACTTGGTAATATTCCCATCTCAGACTCTGTTTTCAAGGAATGAGACCTAAGACAACATACAACAAATATGCAAATTAATAGTTAAGTGAGAGATTTCTGGGTGCTAATTAGTGTTAGGAATAAGATAAAATATGGTAATATTGAGGAAAGGGACTGGCTTAGGGGTGATCACTAGGGGGTTCAGAAGAAAACCTCCCAGAGGAAGTAACATTTAAGTCAAGTCCTGAGTAATGACAATATTAGTGGATAGTTGACATGGGACAAGGAAAATAATCATCAGACCCAAGAAGGTCTAAGAATTGAGAGGAAAGGGTATTGAATGTTAGATCTTCAATGTCAAGGGTGAAGCCAGGAAGAGAAGTGGTAGAAATCAGACCACTTTATTGAAAAACCTTTCAAATTGGCTGGGATTTCTGAAGGAGGAAGGAACAGAGACAATTGAAATGTATCAGTGAGGAACAAAGAAGACACCTACCCCATCGCCAGGTGCTGACTTCTTTGGGAACTGGGACAGAATCACAGCCTCCTGAAGAGGGCTCTCGGGGAAGTGCCCTCAGGAAGCAGCCAGATCTCATTTGCAGCAAAAATTTAATCAGCAGTTCTCAAACTTGAGTATGCAACAGACTCAACCAGAGCGCTTGTTAAAAACCAGATTGCTGGGCCCCAACCAAGGGTCCCTAATACAGGAGATCTGCGGTGGAACCCAGGAATTTTGCATGTCTAGCAAGTTCCCAGGTGCTCCTGACACTGGGGGCCCAGGGAGTACACTTTGAGGACCGCTGACTTAAATAATAAGAGGTCAGGAGACAGTCACTGTTATGGCTGTTCCAATGGTTCAACACTGGCAAGGCCACTGCTGGTTTTTGCTAATAAAGTTTTATTGGCACATAACCACACCCATTTGTTCACATACTATCTACAGCTCCTTGCCTATTACAATGGCAGACGTGAGTAGTTTCAGCAGAAACCACACAGCCTGCAAAGCCTAAAATATTTACTATCTGTCCCTTTATAAGAAAAGGTTGTTGACCTCCATTCTATTTCATCACTAGACTTCTGAAATTTCTTGATGACACACCTAAGGAAACAAGGAAGTGCCCAAGACAGGTGTTACAATTCTCTGTATTCTAATCTCTCTCTCCCATTCTCTTTGAACTTCTAGGTTTGTGCTCTTAAAGATAATTGGACTGTTTTTTAGGTGAGCTTTGATTAGGAAATTATATATATGTTTTCAATCTGCTAAAGTAATAATGTTGATTTTTAATAGACATATCTTCAGAAATGAGTCTTCATAAAACTCTAAAATGAGAAGTAACTTCTGTGGAGATGAAGTTGAATATACTATATATCACTGAGGTGGGCTTCCCCCTTTGCCCACTTTGGGCCACCAACTGGTGTCAACTCATCATGAAGATTTTATGTGTATCTGGAGCAAAAGGGAAACAGTGAGAATTTTTTGTTGTTTTTAAATAAAAGCTAACCATACTCATTGTTCTTTATTCTGAAACTGTCTTTCCATTTTTTTTTTGATGTTACAAATGTGCTTTCTAAAAAATAAAAGCAAATGGTAATTTTTAAATGGCAGGGGTATTTTATTTTTGAATCTCTGCCAAAACAAAAATGTTGGTCCTACTAATTTTTCAAAAGTTACACTGATCTATAAAATACCGAAGTCTGGGAACCAGTGGCCTACAGTATACCAGGGCTGTTAATGCATTTCCCCTCCACTGCCCACAGCCTAGAGCACTATGCTGAGTGGGATTCTGAGGTCCTCTCTGATCTCACTCTCTGATGACTAAAATGTGCACTCATTGATTAGTGATGTCTGCATGGGTACAGGAAGTCAGAGGAAGGCCTCATCTGCTGTGCATCTGCCATCTTGAGTGAGGGTTAGTATCAGCAAATACACTTTATGGATCTGATTTGATCCAGATAGTTCCAGGGCCACAGAGCACACTGCAGACAGTGACCAACCTGCTCATAAACAGGCCCCAAGGCAACAAGAGAGGACCCATACGTGGCTGGTACAAACACCCATGGCAGAAAACAGCTCCTTGCAAGGATTTCAAAGATGGCATCAAAGATAAGATCCATCACATTATCATGAGGTAGATCCTGATTCCCCTTGGGAATCATATGTGTACTTGACCAATGACTGGGTCCCAACTGAATCAAAATATAACAGAAAGTGGCACCATGCATACAAGTATAAAATTTAAATAGCGTCTAAGATATTTTAACCCCTCCTCCCATCCCCCATCAAAGGACCAATTTTTGCCATGTTGGGTATGACACTGCCTCTTGTTGTGAGAAGTCATGGGCTCAACTAGGTCAGGAATGGTTTACAAGCTGCCCCTTTTAGGAAGAGGAACTCATGACTTTAGAGTCAGGGAGGAAAAAAGGGAGATCTGCTTTGAAGTGTCTACCTTTTGAACTACTGTTTTATCTTTGAACCATGTATATGTATTGTCTATTCCAAACTAAATGTCAAAACTTAAAACCATCAACCCTATCACTTCCTAAGGAAATAGGCATTTGCTAATCACCAAAGGAAAAATTAAAAGGACACCATCAGAGAATGAAAGACCATCTTTTGTCATAGAGAAGAGATGGCAACTTTACCCTGGATGAGAAAGAACATATGTGGGCCTATTTTTCCATTTTTTTAAACACAAAAAATAAACTTTTATTTTGTAGTATTACATTGCATGCAATCATCTGTTTAATAGCACATTGTTATTTGGGGGAATTCTTAGGTGGTATAGATGGAAGTAAAAACACATCCCAATTTGTTCCAGCCAATTACTTTCATCATATCACCATCTGAAAATCTGCTGTCCCCTATGAATGTGGGAAACACTGGAACCAATGTCCTCATTGATCTTGCAGAGTCTTGACTATTCTGGGCAAAGCAGAATCCAGGAACCAAGGCTGTGGATCTTTGGCTACTTCCACCTTCTCCCTTCAGGGCCTGACTGCAGGTCTGAGTTCCAGCCAGCAGGTGTTATAATAAATACATATTTCTTGAGCTAATTTTTTTTTAAAATCTATTCCCAGGCACTTTAAGGTTCTATTGAAGTCTCAAAACAGCCATGTGCAGTAGACACCACATCACCTACTTCACAAAGGAGAAAGTTGGAGTTCAGAGCAGTAAAGTGACTTGCCCAGGAACACACAGCACATAAGAAGTAAAGTTGAGATTCAAACCCAGCTCGGCCACATGGCCAGCCTTATTCAGAATGCATGCATGTGACAGATGCTCGCTCATCCCATTATCAGGAGGTAGATCCTGCTTAAAACCATAATCCCTGTGACTTCATAAGGAAACCCTTCCGGAAGGTTTACTCCCAGTGGGCCCCACCAGGAGCGTGCCAACTGAGGGAAGGGGCAATCGTGGAGAGACACAGGCCTGAAAGTGTTCTTGTGTTTGGAACTGGGGTTGAGTCCGGCACTGGCCCCTCTTTGGATCTGGTGCTGCTTGCAGCACATGGCCCACGCCCGGCTGGGTCTCCCCCTAAATGCAGACCCCTTGTCAGGCTCCCCGAGGCCATGTGTAAGTGAAACCCAACCTGAAGAAATGACTCAGGGGACGCCAGGCAGACAGGGCCTTTTCATGCTACATGGATGCATTCAAAACCCATCCAGGCCAGGCCCCGTCTGTCACCCCTCCCACCCACCCTGAGCCTGGAAACCATTTCTTAAATATTAAAATGTGGCCTCTAAGCTGGGAGACCAAATGAGAGGCAGCCTTCTTATCTCAGGTAGGAGATCCGGAGGCTGGTGGAACGGTAACAAGATCCCTCCATGAGGCAAACTAATCACTGTGCAAGCTTTTGAGGGTGGAGAGGAAGAAGGGGCAGAGTGAGGGCTCTGGGCGGCCGCCTAATTCCCCACTGGGGCCGAGGGAGGGAGTGAATCTACCTGCCGGAACCCTGGGAGCTTGGCCTCCTGGCAGCTGCAAAGCCCAGAGCTATAGACAAGGAAGGCAAAGGACGGTCACCCCCATTTCACAGACGGGCTCACCAAGCCTCAGGAGGCAATTGTAAGACAGCACTCTTAAAGAAATGCCCGGTAAGCCATCCACAGTCCTCTAGCAATCCCAGTGACCAGCGCAGCTGAAAGGCAATCCAGGAGGTCGCTGGAAGCTGATCACTAAAGACTCGGGGGTTTTGTGAGTCAGCCGTTGAATGGTTGGCAGCTTGAAACCAGAACGATGGGAGGATTTCACTACACAAATCAACGAACACAAAAATCAGCATCCTTTTTTCCGGAGAACTGGTTTACCAACAAACCAGTGTGTGCTGTGCTCAAAAATGCTTTGGGACTAAAACCAGAAAGACGGGTTCACATCCTGACTCACCCCTAATGAGCTTAAGGGCCTGGCAAGTTATTTAGCCTATGGGCCTCAGTTTCCTCATCTGTTAAATGGAGCTGATACGAGTAACCACGTCCCAGGGCATGTGAGGATTACATAAGATACATGAAGTGCACAGAACTGGCTGGCACTTAATCAATGTCACCTTTCACTATGATTGAAATAACGCATTGAGTCCCTTCTCCCAGCCACCTCTTTTTACTGCCCAGACTCAGCCAAGCTTTCCCTTTGAGACCCCACACACCTGTGTACCATGATGTTAAGAAAGAGTAAAACAACTGAAAGAATTTGAACTTTAGAACCGCAAAGACCCGGGAGGGCTCCCAGTGTTCAACCACTTACTAGTTTCAGCCTGGGCGCCGTCCCCTGGCTTCTCCGCACCATCGTTCCCTCACAAGTAAAATGCAGAAGGGTCTCCGGATCCGAGGCTGCGAGTTAAATGAGATCACTGTTTGTATAGCACTCAGTAGGGGCTCCCAAAAGGGCATAACATACGACATAGACATGAGGAGTCATTTTCTCACCTGTCTTCCCCACTAGACTGTGAGTTCTGCCCAGGTAAGGTCTGGGCCTGGCACCTAGTAGGTGTTCAATAAATTCTAATTGAATGAAATCGATCCCCTGGGATTAACAGCTGCTTTGTTCACCTACACTTGCCCAGGAGGCCATCAGCCCCAGCTAAGCAGCTGTGCTTCTTCAGTGAAGCTGACAGGACTGGCACAAGGTGTTCAATAAATTCTAATTGAATTAAATTGATCCCCTGGGATTAACAGCTGCTTTGTTCACCTACACTTGCCCAGGAGGCCATCAGCCCCAGCTAAGCAGCTGTGCTTCTTCAGTGAAGCTGACAGGACTGGCACATGTCTGGTAGTGCCAGCAGACGCCCATGGCATCGCAGGGCAGGAGTCACCTTTACAATCTGGAAAGCTTACAACTAAGAGGGACACAGGAACCAGCTGCTCTGGTTTTCTGGTTACAGTCCCCGCTCCCCAAAGAAACATACACTGTTCTGTCCCCATGTGTTTGCCCAAGCCCTTCCTTCCACCTGAATTGCCAGCCCTTCCAGCTCTGGGACTCCTGCCCATCCTTCAAGGCTTAGCCCAGGTGTCTCCTCCCCAGGAAAGCTCCCCTTAGAGAGGAAGGGGCCTCCCCTCTGGTTAGGGACACAGGCAACTGCTCACCTGCAATCTCCGCTCTGGATAAGACACAGGCTCCAGATGGGTCTGTGTCCAGAAGTACTCTGGGTGACTACAGGCAAACTACTTGACCCAGCAGAAGCTTGACTTCCAAAAAACCTCCCCAGAGCTACTGTAGGCATTAAACAAACGTATCTAAAGCACAGTACCTGGTACTTAGAAAGCCCTTGATAAATAGTAGGTGTTATTTTTACTGAGGACAGTCCCATTTTCTCCACATCTACCACCTCGTAGAGCTCATGCATGTGTGCGTACACACACACACACACACACACACACACACACACACACACACACACACACACACGCCTTTCAAGCCAGGGGATGCTCAACACGTATTTGTTGGTGAATGGCTGGTGATGCAAGACTACAGAGGGTGAATAGTACACGTGATTGTTTCTATCAAGCACCTACTGTGTGCAAGAATTGCACACTGGGAAAAAAATGATGATAAAGGGATAATCTGGAGTGTTCAGGATGTGAGGGAGGCTGATCTGCAAGAGTGACAAGGATTTATCTGCTGCAAACAGGACCAAAGTCTCAACCATGAGGTGTCTGAACCTCCTCATCTATAGACATGTTACCGGATTCCATGGGCATTAAATAAAACAATCTGCATTAATACTAGTGCAATCTACACTAGTGTAGAGGAAGTGTTTAAAATGTTAGCTTCTATCAATCCGATTGTTACTCTAGTTACCTGGGGCAATAAACCCCAGGGGCTATTATCATAGGTACTTGGGGTAAAAACGTGATGAAGTAATTAATCCCTGGAGGTCTGACCTCCCTTCTGTCTTTAAGCAGGGAAAGGATGCACACCTGCATGAGCTGAACCGGGAATGTGCTCAGCTTCAAAGAGCAGAATATCTCACTAGGAGTGCCTCAAGCAGCAGGGTTTGATTCTCCCACCTAACAGGTCCACAGCAAGCTGCCCAGGGCTGCCTGGGAGCTCAGGCAGGCCGAGGCTCTGGACTGAGGTCACTACAATTCTCTTGACCTAAATTCAAGGATGCAGTTCCACAACGATCTTCACCTACCAACCTTCAAAAACAATGGGGAGAGGAAAGGGGACACATTTCCCAGAATCCTCCAGAGCGCTGCCATTGGGTCCCACTGACCATAGCTGGGTCACGTGGCTTCCCATTAGCCAAGCAAGCCCTGGCAAACGGTTTACCATGACTACTTAGAGATTTGTCACAGCTCATGCCCTGCGCCCACCTTCCCTGGTGACAGACACCACCAACTCTCCCCTGAAACAATGAGCAAGAACAAGGAGGGGGCACCCACCCTGATCCCTTCCGTGGGATACACACATAGGGAAGAGCCAACGGCAGGAGCAGAGAGGATCCCACTCCCAGCTCCCCCTGGGGCTGAAGGTCAGTCAAAGCCTCCCTCAGGTGGTACTTATTAGACCCTACTGTGTGCCTGATGCCATGGGTAGTACAGAAGACTCAGACCCTGCTCCTAAAAGGACAGGGTAGTCAAATTATAGATAAATCACACACACACACCACTGTCTAAAATATGAACCGCTCAAATGCTCCCAGCTGGCCAAATTTAGTGGGTCTCAATGCCCGGGCCTGCAGAGTGGGCAGGGCCAGGGGAGAAGGAAGAGATGAGGGCGTCCCCGGTGAGAGGCTCAGCCTGAGCAGAGGTGGAAAGGAGACGGTAACCTCACCCACGTCCTTTTTGTCACATTAAAAACACTTGTATTAAATGTCAGGTCTGCACTGAATGCCAGGTACAGAGACAGAAGCCCCAGCCCCTGGCCTCAGTGAGCTCACGGTCCTTGACGTCCCCCACTCATGGCAGCCTCTGGCACAAAACAACTATGGCAAAGGAATGCGTATCATTTGCTGGAAGTCAAGCACGGGCTAAGCACTTCCCAGGCACAAGCTCACCTGATCGGCACAAACAGCCTAGCAGAAGGTACCATTAAGGCCCTCCTGTTACAAATGAGTAAACTGAGGCACAGAGACGTTAAATTCCTAGACAAGCAGTAGGACGGAAGGGGGCGTGAGTGGAGTGCCAGGACATGATGCCCCAACCTTGGCTCATCTCAAACACGGTGTGTGACCCTGAACAAGTACCTTCCACTCTCCGGGCTCAGCTTGCCCACAGCAGCAGGGATGCACAGAGCACTATGAGCTACCGGGTTCTAAGGCGGGCGGCTCTCAAACGCTACTGCGTGTTGGAAACACCTTGGGATCTTCTAAAACTCCTGACAACCTGGTCAGATCACAGGCCAATGAAATCAGAATGTCTGGGCTTGCGAGCCAGGCACAGGAGGTTTTGTTTTAAGTGCCTAGGTAATTCCAACATGCAGCCAGTTTGGGAGCCACTGGTCTAAGGATTCCAATTTCTTGGCTTCCTGGGATACCACAAGGATGGCCTGGTATAGAATGAAAGAATTGAGCAGAAAATAAATGTCCAGAACCAACAATTCATAGATAGGAAGCAGATTGGTGGTGGACTGCAGGAAGGCAGAAAGGAGAGTGAGGCCACTGAGGCAGCTTTTCCTTTGGGGGTGGTGAGAATATTGGGGATCTAGATAGTAATGGTGGTTGCACTGAGGTGTAAATGTGCTAAAGGCCACTGAATTGTATACTTGAAAGTATATATATATTTTTTTTACCACAATAAAAAAAAGTGAAAATAAATGAAAAGTAATTCAATTTTTAAAAAGGCTGTGTCTCTCACAAGGTCAGGCCTTTGTGGTCAAGCAAGGGTACAGGGTTAGAGCTCGGCCTATGGAGGCAGCCTGGGTTCTGAATTCTCCCAATATAATTTGCTAACTGGGTGCTGTGTGACCCAGAGCAAGTGACCTCACCTCTCTGGTCCTCCCTCATGCCTCGGTAAAGTGGAGGTAAGACAACTGCCCACATGGGTGAGTTATCCTGAAATACAACGCACCTCGCAGTACACTGTTCCATGAACGACGGTCATTTCTGAGTCACAGGAACGCATCCCAGGGATTTAATGAGACCAAGAATGTCAGCGTCCAGGGAGGGAAGGGACTAGCGCACAGAGCTTACGCAGCGGGACAGAAACCAGGCAGCAGGAGCATTCGCTTCCGGGCCTGGCCGCCTCCCCCCACCCACGCGGGCCAGGGCCCTGACTCACCTGGTCCCCGGGCGCGGGGCGGGGCTCCCGGCTCTCACCTGGCGCTGCAGGCGGCCCGCACCCGCCGCCCGCCTTTCATCTCCGCTCCCCGTGGCTCCGGGCGCCGCTTTCCCAATTGCCCAGGTGACGCCAGTGCCTGAGCTCCCGGCTCCTGCAGGGTGCGGGGCAGGCAGGTGCGGCGCCGCCAGGTAAGGCCGCCCCCTCCGCTCGAGGCCCGCCCACTGCGCCGCTTCAGCCCTGCCCGGTCTGTGGCGACACCTGCTGGCCATCGCTGAGGGCCACAACCTCTGCACCGACTACCTGCTTGGAGTCAAAAAATTAAGTCGTGAGCACCTACTATGTGCCGTTCTGGCTTAGGTCCTAGCACTTCTGGAATATACAGACTGCCAGAACACTCAGACGTAGACGGACAAAGGAAAAGACCCCAGTTGTATCATTCCTTGCTCTGTTACAGAGTAACTGGAGTTATTGCTGGGAGGTCCCAGCCAATCCTGAGGATGAGACAAGGCTAAGACCTAAGAGAAGCTAAGAAACTCTCCATGGAGAGGTGGGGTGAAAGTATTCCACACAGCAGCGGAAACAGCATGTGCTGAGGTAGGAAGACTTCTGGCTATTTAAAGTAAGTGTAAAAGACCCGGGGCTGAACCCCAGTGGGTTGGTACGAAGCAGGCAGAGGCCAGAGGAGCTGCTTCAGCTGCATTCTCACTGTTCTCGCGGGAGAACTGAGGCCTGGAGGGCAAAGGCCTTGCAGAGTAGGGCTGTGCCCACAAGCTGTAGTGGACTCCCAGTCTGGGCTCTCTCCACAGCTCCAGCCACATTTGTTGTTGGTCCCAAGAATCCATTCATCCCTTCAGTGAACATTTCTTGAGCAGCTATTTTGTGCCAACGACTGTGCTAAGCATGAAAGACATAATAGTAAATGAGACACATTCCTTGAGAGGCCCCTAATCTGGTGAGAGCATCTAACCAGACTAGAAGATTAGAGAAGGCTCTCCCTACCCAACAAGAGATAAACCCAAAGGAAAGAATCTCTAATGGTAGAAATCTGGGATAAAGTAGAGGTCAATAGAGGAGATATTTCAGCACACTTAAAAGCATACGATTAGAACTAATTATTTCAATCAATTCCTATCCTCAGGTTTTTGTAGAAGTAAAAAATTAGGTCACAGAAGGGTTGAGTTGGGATACTAAACTGGACCTCCACTGAGATGCCAGAATGTTGGTGGCAAATTAAGCTCAGAAGATGTGTCTTAATGATAATCTCTCACCCCAGTTCTCAGACAAGAAAACTTATCCTCTGCCATCTGCGAAAGGGTCCTCAATACACACTACCCAGGTTAGGCCGATGGGGATAATGTGGCCCATGGCCATCCCCCTTCTCTTCATCATCATCAGCATTCAGAACTTAGCATCTTTGGTGTCATTCAGAATTGACTCCAAACCAGCTCCCAAGTCCTTGATGTATGAAACCAAAGAAGGTTTATTAATCACCAGCCCTGCCCCAGCATTGCAGTTTGGGGCTGGAACGCCCAAAAATAAAAGCTGCCTTTGAACAGCTCACAAAAGGGTTAAAACAAATAATTTCAGCCTGGTGTGATAAGAGGCAATGGAGGTAATTTCCATTTGCAAGGAAACACAGACCCTAGGCTTCCTCCTGCCTGGAGAGGTCTTGGGAAGGAAGACTGCTCATCTTAAACTCCAGTCCAGTGGTTCTCAAAGAGTGGTCCTGAAACAACAGTGTTTTTATCACTCGGGGACTTGTTAGAAATGCAAAATTGGAATCCAAAACTCTGTGACCCGGGCCCGGTGGGCTGTGCTTCGACATCCCTCCAGGTGATTTCGTTGCTGAGGGGAGATTGCTGAGGGAACCTCTGGCCCAGGAGGGAAGGGTGGGAGTAGCCTGTAAATCTGTTTTTGAATATGCATCTCAGTGGTTTTCCATGAATCCCAGTGTCTGGGAACAGGACTTTGGTGGGAATCACTGATTTTCTTTTCCCCCAACTTTTACATTCCCTTTGTCTTCTTCTGTCTCAGAATTATTGTCTCATTGTAATTCTCTTAGAGTGTGTGTGTTCTTTTGGATAGTCAGGCCACCCCCAAAAAAAGAGCAAATGTGGTCAAGTAGGGACAGAGTTATGAACTGTCCCTGTGATGGGACGCCCCTGACTTCAGCACTGAAAGTCCCATGACCCAGAAAACCATTAAGTCTTGGGCACAGCGGGACAGTTGGTCACCCTAGGTGGGCACTGCTGTGTATGCTTCACTGTGAAATGCTGAGAGTTTGGAATTACAATTTCTATAATCTTCTCATGCCAGTTCTAACCCTAAACAAAGTTTTGTAGTCGTCTTTATGGTTTCGTATTTCTGATCCACTTTAATTAGCCAAGCTCATAAGCAAAACATTACATATTTCATTTTTCTGGTCACTGGGCTTATGGATATCATTAAAGTTGGATTGGATGAAGTCAAAAATGAGTATTCCGTGATTCAGCCAGGCCTCACTTTGGAGAAACTTCTAGAGAAGTTATATAGAAGAAAGTTCACTGCTGCATGGGTTGTAATTGTATTGAAATATGGAAACAACACAATGGTCAACAAGAGAACAGATAACTAGGTCGTGGTGTTTTCAAACAATGGATCACTACACAGTTCTAAAAAATACATGAACCACATTGCTACATGCAGCAACACGCATACCTGAAAAACTTAGTGTCATGAGAAAAATGCAAGCTGCAGAAGGCTATCTAGCATATCATTCATGTACAGCATAAATGGCTGCAAACTCTGCTGTGCAAATTTTTACAGACATATGATACTAATAAAGGTATAAAGAGGGCATGAAAATGATAAACAGAGCAATGGTTCTCTCCAGAGGCAGGGAGGAAAGGATGGAGAGAATGGACCCCCAAGGTTTTAATTGTACTTTTTTTAACTGCATGTTTTATTCCTTAGTCTGAGATGTATAAAGAAAAATGTGATATTATTCTCCATATTAATTGGCATGTCTGAAATATTTTGTGTTTTGCATACTTTATGGTTTGTGCAGGGATCCGTGCTGCTTTTAACACATCAAGTCTCCATGGCTAGACAAAACTTGAAAATGTCTAGGCTGATGAAGCCAAACAGGAGTTTCTTGTGCTGTGTTCAGTTTGTATGTTTTCTTAAGGAAAGGGTCTCTTCATTTCTTGTTCATCCCTTGAATTATTCCCCATGCCTAGCAAAGGGCTTGACACCTTGTAGGTTTTCAAATGAATAAAATATTGACTAAAGCTCTTGGTTTTGTGGATGAGGAAATGGGCTCAGAAGTGAATTGGTTTGGCTCAAACCAGCTAGTGATGCAGAGGGAGAGGCAGGGACCGGCATCTGAGCCACATTCTCCAGGTCAGTACATGCCCCAGTGCGTCAGTAGTTCTCAGAGTGTGCCTCCTGGCCTGATTCTTTCTGACGGGGCCAGCAGTATACCTGCACAGTGTTGCCATGACTTTGTTCTCTGCCCTAACATTGCCCATGGAGAACTTCATCTCCCTGGTCTGCTGCACTGATAACATCATGCTGGTGGGGGCTGCTGAGCAGGAAGTTGCAAGGACTTCAGATGCCTTCATAATATATGCAAACAAGAAGGAGACTATAACAACCCAGAAATTCAGGGGTGTACCTCCTCACTGAAGGGCCTGGGACACAATGGTCTAGAGTGTGTCAAGATACCTCCCTGGAGCAGAAAGCAAAAGATTAGGTATTCACGTTGCACCACTTACCACCAAAACATAGACATGATGCTAAGCAGGTCCTTTTAGATTCTGGAGGCAACAGGTAGTACATTTGACCCGTCTGGCATCCTGGGCTCCTTCCTCCTCCTCCTTCTCAACTTACCAGCTCCATTCCATCCATTTTTACAAACAAACAGCTCCAATTCTGTGCACTTGAGCAGGGGAATGCATCAGATCCATTAGCCCTCGGCAGAGGGCTCCCTTCTTTCTATGCTGTCACACCAGGAAGCAGTGGGCACAAAGGGCCCACCATCACATCCCCCAACCCTGAGGCCCGTAGTGTCCCCCAGGCTGGCCTCTCTTCAGGCACTTCCTGTCAACTCCATCTCTAACATTTGCTCCTTCAGCAAATGGGAGTTGAAAAGCCTACACAGAAGGGTCCAAAGAAAACCTTGAGGTGTGGAAAGGCTGGACATTTCATTCTGGACCCAGAGTTCAGTTTCTTCCCTGTGTGCCCACAGGACCGAGGGAACTGGCAGTGTGGGTGGTCACTGGCCAGATGCACTGTGCGGAAATAGAGATGTGTTATATATAAACGTGTTACAGGATGGTATATATGTGATCAGGTGGCATTGGATAACAGACTGTAGGATATGCTGGGCCTGTCCAGGGGGGCTTTGGATGGATGACAATAGACCCACAGTTGGAATGCAAGGCAGCCATTCAAAGAAAAGGGGCAATGTGCATGCTGCCATGGAAACGTGTCCATGATGCAATGGTGAGGAAGCCAAGGCTGTTTGTAAATGTGTATGTGAACATGGGCATTTCTTATTAAATCCGAAAGGATGAAGCACCGCTTCATTAAACAATCACAATCTCAAGGGGAAGGAGTTGAGCGTGTGGACATTGTCACTTTCAACTTCATAAACGTTGGTAATATTTGACTATTTTACTATGTGCCAGAATCATTTTGTAATAAAAGTGAGGCATTTCCAACTTGAAAAATTAGTGTATGCAGTGCCCAGACACACTTAGGCTGGCCAAGTCCCCTCTCCAGGCCTCAGTTTCCCATCTGGAAAACAGGGGCCTTCTTCTCTTCTTCACATTGTTTTATCTACTTAAAGAAGATTTATATAAACACTTTCTCTGTGTCAGGTGCCAGGCTAAACTAAGCGCTTCATAAATATTAAAGCAACCAATCTTTGTAGTAAGCCTGTGAGGGAGGGGTTTAGCCCCATATCTGAGGTAAGGGAGCTGAGGCCCGCGGGTTGAGTGGCTTGCCCATGCGCACTCAGCTAACGAGTGGCGGAGCCAGGATCTGAGCTAAAGTAGTCAGGCTCCCTAGTCTGGCTTCTTAGCTACTGTATCATGTTGGAGAGAGTCCACGAGAAAGTATACAAAGCCATTTCCATAGAATATGTGTCAGTAATATTTAGTGGACAGTGAGATTGCATCTTGGGAAAAAAGTGTGTGCTCCCCACAAACC